TAAGCTTTGGCCCAAAATTAAAGTCTATTATGACCTTCAAAAACAATTCAATTGCTAATATAAACATATTAAAAGTCATAGTCACATTAAAGAAAAATTCACCTGTATGGATGTTAAAATGGAAGACACATCATAAGTTGGACTCCAACGATTCTGAAGTATGTCCAGACATATACTACCATCTGCATAGACTAAGAGCATAGAAGTAGGTATGTTAAACATAAGACCACTAAGGTTTTAACATTATAGTCAAAACAAAATTTGTCAAGAATACTTTACTTTTTAAGTTTAAAGATTCCTAGGCTGCTTCCCAGTTAACTGCCTAAAAAGATGAGTCATAATCATCACTAGTGAAATAATCAGGATGATCTGAGAATGTTCAAATGTGATCCATATAAAACTGGAAGATACTTAGAGCTCATTCTTCTAAAAAGGCTGCCCTATTATCTGGGAAATCATACACATTTTCTAACTGGGTCTCTAGCTATCCATAGACCTGTGGGAAATTCATCCCACCAAATTTGTAAACTATATCTCCTATCTGAAATAACAATAGATAGCTCAGAGTTCACAAGGTTTCATTTTGGCATAAAGATAAAAATATCTAATACCCTGAAAAATACTTCATTGACCTAAATAAAAGGTAAGCTGTTCTAGGATTACTACTATTTAAAAAAATAGCAAAATGGTAAGTTAGAATCACCTGTGGTGCTTTTCTAATACACTGTATGCCCAGCCTTCAGCAACAGAATCATATTCAGTAGGTCTGGAATGGGGCCAGGGCATCTGTATTAACTGTTCCATGGTAATTCTGATATGCATCCAGAGTTGAAAACTACTGTTTTAAATGCTAGTGAAAATAATTACAACAAAAGACCACCCCAATCTGGCCTAGTATTAAAAGTAAACCTATAGAGTATCCTGATTTTTGTTTAATAAGTAAATGACAAAGATCATCAAAATCAGGAGGCTCTTAGACTCCAAACAAAGGGAAAGTACCTTCACTGCTTCAGTTCTAGGACTATAAATCAAGATGGCAATAGATCACCATATTTTCAGGAAGCAGCAAGCTGCCTAAACAAGTACTCAGGCACTACAGGCAAGAAAACAGAAATGTGGAATACTCCATAATAAACATTGTAATAGTTTAAAATATTGTACTAAAAGTGATACTTGCCATTTGGATGAAACATCTTAGAAACAAATCTAACTGTAGGTGGTTTATTCGGATATTCTTCAGTGAATTCTATTGTAAGCTTAAATGTTCCTGTAGTTAGAAAAGAAAGGTTTAAGAAAATGTATTTATCACTTTGTTTTTAATGCTACATGGGTTTCTTCAAGTATTAAATAATGCAAAGATACAGGATAGAGAGGAAAGAGACACCAGGTAAGAAACATCTCTCTAGGAATCTCTCTAAGAACTACTCAAAGATGATTCATTTTTTTCTTTTGCCATTATTGTCCCCTAAACTTAAAGACAGCCATTATAGACTCAAAATTACTGTCTGCTGAGTAACTTTAGCCACTGTACATTTTGAAAACATCCTTAAAATAAAATGACAAGAAACTCAGCCTGAAATTTGGCCTTCTTCCTTTAGAAGACCAAAAGACCTCAAAGGCCTATTTTAGTCAGCTACCATCTTAAACTCTCCAGTGATTTTTAAATGGACTAGAAATGAAAGCACAAAGGTTCAAAAACCAATGCTAGAAATACAAATCCATAATCAAGTTATTTTTAAAATAGAAGAGAATAAGTATAAAAGTGTTAACTGGTTTTTCATGTAATAGCGACTCTATAATGAAAAGTTAATTGAACTTAAGCCAGAAAAAACTTCCTAGTGCCTCTCAAAAACCCTTAAGTATGACTCATAAAGTACTTCACTATAAAATCAACTCAGTTATTCACACTTATGGAGAGAACTGATGGCAGAAATAAGTTTAAAATCACATTTGGTTGCGTTCATGTCTCCAGCAAATTTATCTTTCTAAGGATGTTCGTTTGCACTACTGTTGAAATGAAATTATTTTTCTTGAATATGTGTCAACCTAAAGTAGCAGGAGGCCCCAAAACATACCAGACTATAGACTAATTTATAAGGCACAGACAGTGGATCTTCCTTAAGAATTGTAGGATGTTGTGATTTAGGGAGATTCAAAATGTTATTTTAAATTATGTTTGTTAAATAAATTGAAGAAAACAACTGGGCAATGTTTTTTCCTGACTGAAATCTCTTTAAGTAAACTTAAAGGAATCAGTTACTATCTGGGTAAGGTGATGTGTGTTCCACTCCATTTAATAACTTATTCTAATATAATAGACCATAGTTCAGATAGAGTATAATTATTACTAGTTCCTTCAGAGTTAGCAATTTATTTCCTTTTTATTCCCACTAATAAGTTTATCACTGCCTAAGGAAAAAAAAAAGAGTACTACTGCTAGGTCTGTGACATAACAATACTAAAATGTTTGTTTCCTACTAGCAAGCTCATAGGGAACAATTTGCTAACAAAGCTGCCCTTGATATGAATATGTGTCCCAAAGTTTCAGAATAATTTAAAATGCAGCATATTATATGACCAGGTCCTGGTCATAAATCTTCCTCTCTCTGAGGAAGAAAGTATAGTTCTTCCTTTTCAGTATTATTGACCCTATAATATGCAAGAAAAAGTGGGAATGTGTTAGAGAGTTCAAAGCGTTGAGCTTCCCTATGTATCCCAAGTGTAAATGCACTCGGATCAATGTTGAAATCTGATTAAATTATAGGTAAGCGATTTATCAAGGCATTGCTCTAAAACTGGGCCAATTTAATAGCACACGGAGATCTCACCTATCTTAAAACCATCATTAAATATGATATCTAAAGGTTGTAAAGCAATACATAGGGAAGGCATAAGCAAAACAGCAGAGCATAGTGGGCAAGAGCACGAGCTTTGCAGTCAGGTCTGGGCTCAACTCCTCGTTTTGCTACTTGCTATCTGTGAAACCTTGGGGAAGGTGCTCAACTTGACTAAAACCTCAAGTTTCTCATCTGTAAAATGAGATTAAAATAGTACTCACCACACAGCAACACTGTTGTGAGATTTAAATGAGGGAAATATGCACAGTGTCACAAAGTAAGTGTGCCATAAATATGAGCAATTATTTTACCTATAATAAGTCTAAAGTTTCACATCTGTAGACAAAGCTAAAGGAGGCAAAAACCAAAAATCCAAACTTCACTATCAGTAAGAAATACACAATTAATTCAGACATTAAACAGTATTTTCGTTCCAGCCTACATCAAATACAGTTAAATGCAAGTTGAGTACCTATGTTGGTGGTTTACAAATTCTTTGACTTGAGCTTTCTGCCTAATGCTTGCCCAGAAGTTACCTAGCTACCAAAGAAGTTAATCGAAAGTCTTTTAAAACAGCTCATTTAATATCTTGAGAGGTGAAGCAACCTGTTTATGTCTACTTGAGTATAAATTAAGACTTACATAAATCTTATTCAAGGTACACATTAAAAAGAGCATTTTTTTTTACTTTAAGCTACATTAAACAATCAGAACCTCTTTAGTACAACCAACCCTCAATGTAATTTCTGAGATCTAAAACAAATGTTAAGGAAATTAAAAATCTTAGAATTAGCATTATGCAATTTGAGACTAGAGCTTACCCTCTGAATATTTAGAAGGCTAAGCTATAAAATAACTGAAAATTTAAGCCTCACCATTGCTGTATACAATATATACTGATTTTGTTCATCTTCCTGAGGTGGCCAAAACATTTAGGAAAGTATCAATTAATCCATCTATACACAGAGACCAGGGAAATTATGTAAATGTGTTAAATGGCTGGTATATGGCAATAAGGAGTGATATGGCTGAACTAGATAGAGAGTGTATGTTCTGCCTATAGGCATTCACAAATTCAAGACCAACTTGGGCAACATAGAGAGACCCTATCTCTTTAAAAAATAATAATTTTTTTGATGACTGAAAATCTGATTTTTACCCAAAACTCTTCAGCATAAGATATCTTTACCTTAAGAACACCCTTGGTGGACTTTAGGAGATTCATTTTTAAAAAGAAAACATTTACAACCAAATTCTAAAGGACACATCTATTATGAAAAGGACATACTAGTACCTTACTATTACCATTAATTTTTAGATAACATGATGAAGAATATTATAGTCCATAACCTTTGTATTCAGCATATATACCAATATATTTTGATGAGGAAGTATTTCCTCCCAGTGTTCTGGTAGTATAAGCCCTTGAGAACATATTCCTCTTGCTTCAAGTGTGTGAAGTGAAATCAAAATACCCTTAAGGGTTCCTTTCCTTAAGATTTCATCTCTTTAGCTAGGGCCTGGCTGTCCCAAAACTTCCACCACAAATGGTTTACAAGGAAGAGGCAAAAGTAGTGTGGAGGCTCTCGATTTATATAATACATTGGAAACAGCCAAATCAACTATGTCATTTAACCCTAATCAGTCTCTTCCCTAACTGGAAGTTCTCCAAATGTAAATAAGGAGTATTCAAAAATGGTCAAAATTATTTTTTGTAGCCACAGTGTTCTAGACATCTGAGGAAGCATCCATGGGTAGCAGACTGTTCAACAGAATGAATCACAAAAAGGTACTGTCATTTAGCCTGAGTAATTCAGTAATGCCTGGATGGAGATACACACCATCAAAAGCAGAGCCAGTAATGTTAAAGGGGACAGTCCAGATAAATAATGGATTCCATAAGTACCTTTTCAATTCATACCACTTAAAACATGAGAAGCACCCTTGAAATATTTAAGTAGCCAATCCCTAGCAAAGTGATGTACTATTAATAAAGCCGTGCCCAACATGAAGCAGTTGGAGTAAAATGAGGGAAAAAGAAGCCAATGAAAACAAAGCCTCCTAGAGCTAAAAAGCAAATACACAGTTAATCTGCACATAAAGCATAGGTATAAAAAACTAGCACCAATCTAGCAGAGGAAAATTGAGTCTAGCTAGCCCTTGATATGGATCAGTTCAAATGATTAACTGCACCAAAGTAGTATGTCCTCAGAATCACTCTCTCCTGCTGCCATTTCTTTTTATGGCAGCCCTGAAGAGCAATGACATTTACCTGGGGGTGAAGGTAGAAAGGAAGCTAAAATATTCAGGTGACTGTCCAGTTTCCTAGGGAAATCTGAGTATTTGAGACAAATTATAGACTTACTTGATAGTGACTTACCTCACAACATTTTGGGGACTGGTAGCATCAAAAAAGATTCCGACTTGGCAACATACGTATGTATTAAGTAGTTTACAGAAATGTTTTTGTTCCCACCTTCAAACTAAGAGGTGTGTTTGTGTGTGTGTGTGTGTGTGTGTGTGTGTGTGTGTGTGTATAAAATTCTATGTGACTGAGGGAAGATATAACATTGAGAAAAAAATAACAGAAAGATCCCTTTCTTTTTTTAAAATACTTCAAATATTAAAGAATTTCATGAGTTGAAATACTTTTAATCATCTTCAAAATGTATTAAACTTTCAAAAAACAATTAACTAAACACACACACACACACACACACACACACACATACACAAAACTGAGTGCATATAAAACTATCAATGTCAATATCCTGGTTGTGATATGGTAGTATAGTCATTCACGATATTACCAAATTGGTTGTGGGGGGACTGGGTGAAGGGTATACAAGTCTGTCTGTATTATTTCTTGCAATTGTACATGAATTTGTAATTATCTAAAAACAGTTTTTAAAAAGCAATTAACACATGTTTTTAAAAGTTAATCCTAAATCAATTAAAAATGATGTACCCATTGGTACATGTAGTACCTTCAAGTAAGTTGGACACACTGGTCAAGAGGGTACGTTAAGGCTAACCTCAATTCTGAAGCTGCTCTGAGATTACTGCTCATAAAGTCTTGATGAAAGCACACACTGTAAATTCATTTAAAAATAAGAAATAACACTGTACTCCAATGAAACATTTAAGACCATGTGAGGCTAACAAGCATTCAATATCAGATTGTAGAATGTCAGATAGTTGTGTGCAAGGGATTCTTGCATCCATTCAACATCCAACAAATACATATTAAGCACCTGCTGTTTCTGCCCTTGCAGTAGAATTCTGAACCAGATGGTTTCTGGGGTCTTTGCTGACTGTCAGCAACTGGTTGGGTTCATACTAACTCAGTATCTTGATGGGGGGGGAGGGGGTGGTGGCTGAATTTAGCAGAATCACAGCCCAAACCTCAAAAATCCTTAACATCAGTGCTATGATTGCTCCTTTTAAAAAGTGCCTGCCTTACCCAGATTTTTTTTTTAAAAGGGGAAAGCAAAAATAAAAAGGTGTGGTTCTAGACAAGTAGACAATATCCAGAACAAGCTGCCACACACTGGATTATACTCAAGCCTTTATAGGCTATAGGCAGAAGCAGGTTCCTAAGCAGGAGACACTTCCAGGATAACCGGGAACCCTTTGCCCAGATGATCAGGATCCTTAAAGGTGGTAAAGAAACTCTCTCTTACCATCCTCAAACGGGGTCCCTTCAGGCCTGCAAAACAGAGGAAAATAGTCAGTTCCCGCTTAAGGGGCTCCCTTCTCCCCAGTTCATTTTAGGAGATAGCTAGTCCAAGCTCTGCCATCTCCACCTCTGGTCAACCACTGTTGCCAGGATCGGAAAGCCACGACCAATAGATGTTTGGGGCTCAGAAACACAGCGCAGGCCGCCGCGCCTAACCGTTACCACTCCCCGCCCCGCCCCCCTAGCACCCCAAACGGTTCCCCTGGCAGCGGGAACTGAGCTAATCGAGGCACAGGCTCCGGGGAGGCGCCTAGGCCCAGCCAGACCCAAACATGTTCCCTTTCACCCTCCGCCTTCACAAGCGGCCCAGCCCGGAGGACACACTGAGCCGGCTGGTGGCCCCCATCTCTCGCCACCGCCCGGAAAGCAGACTCACCCGAAAATGACCGCGTTCCACACCATTATGTTGTTCTCCGACGGAGCCCCGCTGACTCCAGCTGGAGGATCCTCCTGCAACCTTCAGAGAGACAGACAGGGTCCCCCAAGTCCGGCACTCGTGTCCGCTCCCGGCTGCCCCCACCCCACCCTACCCGGGCAGCCTCGGGACCCGCCCTGTGCCCCGGCTGGCAGCCCCCGGCCTCGGCGGTCCCTGTCGCTTTACCTCTTGAAGTCCCTCATGAGGCGCCGCCGAGCCGGGGTGGACATATCTCTAGCGGGGTCAGGGGTGGGGCATACACCGGGGTCTCGGGTTCCTGCGGCGGGTAAAGAGGCCGAGGAGGCTGAAGAAGCCGAAGAAGGTGAGGAGGAAGCACCCAGAGGAACGGCACTGCCTCTCCGAAGTCGAGGGTCGGTCTGGCGCCGGCTGAGCACCACCCCGGAGTAGACCGGGGCTGAACCAACCTGAAAGGAAAGAGGGGGGTGGAACGCGAACGCCGGACAGGCCGTACCAAGACGGGGCCGGGTGGGGGGGGGACCAAAGTTGCTTATGTCATTAAACCCCAGCGGCAGGCAGGGAGTGGTGCCGTGCGGCTCCGGGGGTGACAGGCGAGCCGCGGGGCAAACGAAAGCCTACGATTCCTGAGGGTTTAGTGGAGGAACAGGGTCCAGCTCCACTTGCCAATTCTAAGACAAACCCCGGGAAGTTTTCTGCTTTTTTTCTTTTTAGTTTTTTTTTTTTTTCTCCTCGCTTTTTTTCTTTCGGTTTTTCTTTTGAGACCACATCATTTATTAAAGCGCGCACTATGGCAGGGGACAGGAGAGGAGTGGCGGGGTGGGGGTGGGGAAGAAGTTTGGAAGTCTCAAACTAGGGGAAGAAGGAGTGGGCGGAGGCAAAACCGGTTCTCGAAAAGCGGGAACTCTAGGGCGCACACCCCCTGCGGACAGAGGAGACTGGGTAGGGGGAGGGAGGCGACTGATTAAAATCACTGAAAATCAAAAGACTAAATCGGGCTTGACTATGAAAGGGGGCTGTGAGTCCCTTTTCTACGGCACGAATGTGCAGGATTCGGATCCCAACATTTAGGCCAATGATCACCCCAAAACAGAATAAAATGGTGTTTATGTGTCCTGGGGGAGGGAATGAATGCCTAAGGCAAACAGAATAGGGTTGTTTGTTTGTATGTAAAGCTCTGGGCACTCACAATTTGGCTCTGGAACCACATTTCCCCTTGGCAGTTCAACAAGCCAAGTGGCTACTATATGTTCAGAAGAGTCCAAGGTATGAGAATATCCGACTGTGGAGAATTGGAAGGGCAGTGGGTCTGAAGTAAAAGTAACGGTAAGATGCACGTGGAAAAGCTGTAGGTTGCAGGGAAGAGTCACAGTTAGTACGAGGACCTGCAAAAGCAATAACAGTTTTAAAGCAGAAATTTTTAAAGGTCAACCCAAAATAACTTAGAAGGTAGGCAAAATACACACTTAAGATTTACTGAAAATATGAGAAAGGTAAGTTTGGTTTAAGTCATGAAGAGTTTTAAATGCCAAGCTAATGGATTCCTTGGAAGGTGTTTTAGCAGGAAAGTGACATCATTAGAGCTGTGCTGATCAGAGATTGGTCCCAGGAGAGCAGCTAGGAGAGACTCTTGCAGTATTCAAGGTGTGAGATACTGAACCAGGCAGTGACAATAAAGGAGAGGAGGGGGTAAATGGAGAGGACTTGGAAACAGATTGAATGTGGGGACAAGATTGAGGGAAGGAGTCAACAATGGCTGAAGCTCTAAACCCCAAGATAAAGGGGGATTTGAACGTGCCATTAACAGAATTAGGGAATAGAGGGAGAGGGACAAATTTGGGAGAGGAAATTTTGGGCAGGACTTATTGAGCTCATGGGACTTGTGAGACATCCACGTGAAGATGTCCAGAAGATATCAGATGCGCAGGGGTTTGTTTCTAACGTGGGAGGCAGGAGGCACTTGATACGGTAGTGATTCTAGTTGCTGCTTAACAACAGGCACCTTCATGGCAAAGGATTTATATCTCCCATTAACTCCAACATGTCAATTAAGGCAAGTCTCCCTAATAGCATCACATTATGGCTGTGGTGGGAAGAGGGTACAAAATTTTTTTAAAAAATCATTTTCCTCTCACCCAAGTACTTGCAGTCTACTAACACACACATATGAAATCAACAAAAGCTAGATCTATAAAAGCAAGCTCATCAGTTTTCTATCACTGCTTAGCAAATTACCACAAGTTCTTGGCCAAGTCCAGTTCCTTGCAGTTGTAGGACTGAGGTCCCTATTTCCTCGCTAGCTGCCAACTGGGGACCTTGCTCAGCTCCCAGAGGTCACCCATTTCCTTGCCACATAACTTACTTCATCTTCGAAGTCAGCAACAGAGAATTTCTCTCGCACAAAATCCCTCTCACTCTCTGAATCTCTTCTTTTTCAGGAAGAGCACAGTCTATTTTAAAGGCTTGTCTGATTAGGTCAGGTCCACCCTAGATAACCTCCCTCTCTTAAAATCATCTAATCTGGAACGCTAATTATGTCTGCTAAATTTCTTCACAGCAGAACCTAGACTAGGGTTTGATTTAATAGCTGGGAGATGGTGTGTGTATACACCAGGGGCCAGGAATCTTGGGGGAGAATGGCATCTTAGAATTCTGCCTACCATAGCAACAACAGGATACATAGTACAGGTTGAGTGCCATTACCCAAAGGTTGGTCCCTAATCCAAAATGCTTGGGACCTTCAGCATTATTAACTAGTAAAAAAATTTAAAAAACCAAAATGCTTGGGACCAGAACTGTTTTGGATTTCAGGTTTTTTTTTTTTTTTTTTGGATTTTGGAATATTCGCATTATATGTCTTTTGAGCATCATGTCAGCACCCACAAAGTTTCAGATTTTGGAGCATTTTGGAATTTGGATTTTCAGATTTGGGATTCTCGACCTGTAGAAGTATGTGAATCAATAAACACTGAGGTTGGCTGGGCTTGGTGGCTCACACCTGTAATCCTAGCATTTTGGGAAACCGAGATGGGAGGATCACTTGAGTTCAGGAATTCCAGAGCAGCCTGAGCAAGAGTGAGACCCCCATCTAAATTAAAACAAAAAACAAAACAAAAAAAAATACTGAGGGATTGCATGGCAAAGGAAATCATCATTCTGATAGGGTCAAGACAAGTTTCCTGAAATGAGTCTATTTCAATTTTGTTTCAAAAGAGATGAAAGCAAGGCTTGAGAGAGAAGAAGTCAAACAGTTTATATGAGGGCAATGGCACAAAGGCATGGAGTTAAACCATATTCTGGGGATAGTGGGCAGATTAGCTTGGCTAATGAAAAGGTTCTTTGCTGAAGAATGATGAGACTTCAGGTTCGAAAAGTGAGGATGATGGAAGTGAAATATTTGCCCTTAAATGCAAGGATGAGGAATTTAGCCTTGATAGGCAGCTTTTATAGGTGTAGAGCATGAGAGAGATGTATTGAAAATATCCTATTGAGAAGCAGCATGTACTGCACTGGAGAGTATGAAAGGGATGGGGAAGCTCCTGCTACTGGATATAAATGTCTGAAATTCAGGCTGGGTGCAGTGGCTCATGTCTGTGATCCCAGCACTTTGGGAGGCCAAGGTGGGAGGATCACTTAAGCCCAGGAGTTCGAGACCAGCCTGGGCAACATATCAAGGCCCCGTTGCTACAAAAAAAATATTTAATTAAAAAATTAACTGGGCATGGTGGCACACACGTGTAGTCCCAGCTACTTGGGAGGCTGAGGTGGGAGGATCCCTTGAGTCCAGGAGTTCAAGGTTAGAGTAAGCTATGATTGCACCACTGCACTCCAGTCTGGGCAACAGAGCAAGAGACCCTGTCTCTTAAAAAAAAAAAAAAGTCTGAAATTCATGGTAGGATATAGACATATCTGAGTTTGTTGTAGGCGTCTCTGTTTTTTGAAACCCCTTTTCTCTTCCTTCTTTGGACCACATAATCAAGAAATCTCAGGAGCATGACCAAAAGCGGGTTGGAAGCCCTGTGGCACCTGTATGGGAAGAGCATTCTTTGACTGCAGAATGGAACTGCATTGCAGGAACACCGTGCCCCCACATTTCTCATCAGAAGCAGCGTTGTCATAGCAAGCAGCAATACAGAAGATTGTTTTCCAGCACAGACGATTATCAGGCTAGAATATACTAACTATAGCACAGTTTGGCCAAGCATTTCTTCCACCCTCTTCACACCTTGACGTCTTGAAGAAATACCCTCTTCACAGCCAAGCACCACCCCCACCCGAGAGCGAGGGTCAAGAAACCAGAAGTCCTTTTCAATTGAAATAAAAGCTTGTTAGCAATGCAGGTGTGCATTTTCACAGGTCTTGACAAACCCCAGGAACATAAGAAATTCCAAATTGTCCATAGACAAGGATTTGAGAATTCTCCTAAAAGGGAGGACTGTGAAATATGGGAATATACGACTAGGGAAATTGTGGAATTTCGTTCATGAAGATTTCTAAATGCAGAACAGATTCTGATTTTCCTGAACTATTTTGGGTTAGGGGAACAGACCAAATAAACTATCATTTCTTGTCTTATGAAGCTGTGAGTTTGTATTTCTGTTATCCGGTGAAGGCAACAGAATTTGATTTTTCTGCGGTTTCCACTTCTATTGATAAAATTTAGTACAAATGGCAACAAAGAAACAACAGAAAATAAAACCAAATGGTCTTTCTTGACTTCAGTAATCTCAGAAGATAAGTCAAGGGAATCACTTAGAGGAAGTAACAATTGTCACAGTGTGCTCTTGGCAACACAAGTAATAGTATGTTGTTTATCTTCACCCCCTAGGACATAACAGGGGAGAGAGGAGGAGAGAAGGAAAGAATATTAAAGTTTAGAGAAATGGAGAAATTAGAGCCTTAAACATAAGGTTTCACTACCTGCTGAATCACTGAATGAAAGAAAACAAAAGCATGGTATGGTAGTTAGTACACACCCCCCCCCCCCTCAGATCTCCAAGTCCTAATCTCTGAAACCTGTGAATATGTTACCTTATATGGCAAAAGAGACTTTGCAGATGTGGTTAAATTAAGAATGTTGAGGTGGGGAAATTATCCTGGATTAAACAGGTGGGTCTGAAGGAATCACAGCGGTCCTTATGAGAGCAGATGAAGTAGGAGTCAGAGTTCAGAGAGAAGGCCATGTAACAACAGAAGCAGAGATTGGAGTGATGCAGTCATCAGCCAGGGAGCCAAGGGATGTTGGCAATGAATGGATCCTCCCCTGGAGCCTCCAGAAGCAAGGTGTCCTGCTGACACCTTGACTTTAGACCAGTGAGGTTGGTTTACTGGAGAACAGCAAATTTGTGTTGTCTTAAGCCACTAAATTTGTCGTAATTTGTTACAGTGGTAATATGAAACTGATACACATGGCTACAATGCTGTAAATGGGAATTCAGTCAAACCAGCCACATCCACCAGACCAGGGATCAGCGGACTACAATCGAGTCCAGGCTGCCACCTTTCTTCTATGGCCTGCAAGCCCCTCTATATTTTTTCTTTCTTTCTTTCTCTCTTGCACAATTTGAGGTGGAATTATTTATTTATTCAGAGACAGGGTCTTGCTCTGTCACCCAGCCTGAAGTGCAGTAGTGTGATCATCGCTCACTGCAGCCTTGAACTCCTGGGCTCAAGCGATTCTCCTTCCTCAGCCTCCCGAATAGCTAGGACTATGGGAATGTGCCACCATGCCTGGCTAATTTTTCTATTTTTTTGTAAGGACATGGTCTCACTATGTTGCCCTGGCTAGTCGAGAACTTCTGGGTTCAAGTGATCCTCCCACATCAGCCTCCCGAGTAGCTGGTATTACAGACATCAGCCACCTGCCTGGCTGTTTTTTTTATATTTTTAAATGGTTGAAAAAAATAAAAAGAAGAATATTTGTTAATATTTCATACACATAAAAATTACATGAAATTCAAATTTCAATGTGCATCGATAAGGTTTCACTGGGACACAGCCATGCTCTTTCATTTATGTACAGTCATCCATTGGTATCCAACAGGGATGGTTCCAGGACCCCTCTTGGATACCAAAATCCGTGGATGCTCAACTCTTGCAGTCAGCCCTCTGTATCTGTGGGTGCTGCATCCGCAGATGTGGAGGGCCTACTGTATGGTCTGTGGCTGCTCTTGTGCTACGCTGGCAGAATTGAGTAGTGTGACAGAGACTGTGTGTGGTGCTGTCATCGTACTGCTGCTCTGTGCCTTACAAATGGCAGTGATGTAGCATAACCCACAGTGTTTTGAGTGCCACATGTATCTACTGTGGCATTTTAAAAAAATTACATACAAGTGCATATCTATCATGTCAAAACAAGAGAATAAAAGTGGACTTTGAATGTCATGCTTTTAAGGCATGGTGGAGTGGGGATTACTTGGTATGGAATCAGATGTCAAAGCATTACACAATGACACTGTAGCATTGCTAAAAAATTACAATGTACATCAACATTACCAGACTAAGCACTCATTACGATACTCCCGACTCCTAGGAGAGCAATGGTTAGCAAAATTAGAAAATTTAAAATAGAATGTCTTATCATAGCAGGAGTCTTCACAAAAATAAGAAATGAAAATGAGCCTGTAGCCAAAGTAAGTTTCTGAGTGGCTCATTTGTTAGCCTATCAAGGAAAGCCATTCACTGATGGTGTGTTAATTAATCATGTTTGGTTGCAGAAGTTAAAAAAAAATATGCTCAAGAAAAATAAACTTGTTTAAGACTATCAGCCGTTCAGCAAGAACCATGGCTCAGAGTTGAGGACATTGGAAGCAACATCACTAGCCAATTAAAAAACAAAGCAAATGATTTCACTGGTCTTCTTGGCTCTTGATGAGTTGACTGATATTTACCAATACTGCTTAGTTGTTGTTGTTTACTCAAGGAGTCAATGCTGAATTTAAAGTGACTGAAGAATTAGCCTGTGTGTATAGTCTGTGTGGAACAACTGCACATGAGACTATTTTCAAAGAAGTCAAGAAAACACTAATTCAATATAGCCTGAAGTAGAGTCTGCTAAGATGCACTACAAATACCTATGGAGTAGAAAAAGGCTCAGTTATACAAATGTCCAAAGCTTGTGAAAATGTAATTTGTTTAAATCCTATGGTTATTCATTGTATTATATCAAACAGAAGGTACTTTGCAGGAAAATATTTGAATCTATCTTGTGTTATTGAACCAGTAGTATCAACAGTGAATTTCCTTCACTCTCGTGGACTAAAACATACATCATCAGTTCCATGATTTTTTTCAGAAATAGAAGTTGAATATTTATGACTTGTCCTACCAACAGCAATTTAATGGCTTAGCAGTGGTAAAATTTTATTGAGACTCTATTGAGTTGAGGGCTGAGATTGAAAATTTTCTAAATGAGAAGAACCACCCTCAACCACTATTATCGAACACTGAATGGTTTTTGAAATTAGCTTTTCCTATAGACTTTGATAATGTTTCTTAACGAATTTAACCCCAAATTACAAGGCAAAACAGTGCTTATATGTGAAACTTATACTGCAGTACATTTAATGACAACTAACATTGTTTGGATCACAAGCAATGTCAAGTTCCGTTAATCGCTTCTTGTGGAGTCAAAAGTTAAAACAAAAATCGAGATTTGCATTCCCACACAAATTTGCAGTGGATATATTTCCTGAGCTCAAATTACCATTCTAGCAGCATTTTATGGACCTTGATGCAAGTGCAAAGGAAACTTCTGTATTTCAAAATCACTACAAAAAAAATTAAAAATAAATGGGGGCCAGGCATGGTGGCTCATTCCTGTAATCCTGGCATTTTGGTATGCCAAGGTGGGAGGATTGCTTGAGGTCAGGAGTTTGAGACCAGCCTGAGCAAGAGTGAAACCCTATCTCTACAAAAAATAAATAAATAAAAATAAGTAAATCAAATCAAATCAAATCAAATCAATTTAACTGTGCAATTGAGGAGCTTCCACCTAAACTTCAATTGGAAATGATTAATCTGCATTGTAATGGCATGCTAAAAGGCAAATATCAAGAGAAGAATTTAATAGAATTCTATAAATGCCTTCTAAGAGATGAATATTCTCAATTAAAATCATATGCTTGTTGATTGATATCAGTATATGGCAGTACTTATCTGTGTGGAAAAAAATTTTCAAAGATGAAATACATAAAATCTCATTAAAGATAAGCTTTAACAGATGAAATTTGCATCTCATTTTGATGATAGGAAACATTCCTTTTGAGCCCCAATTACATGAAATAGTATCCCCCTCCATAAAAGAATGCCATTCTTCTCACTAGTAGACCTGTACTACAAAAGAATTATACTCAATTATTAATATTACGTTTTGAATTTTGTCAATAAAATGTTTGTGGAATTTTTTTTCTGTTATTATATAAGTACCTACACAATATTCTTGATTTTGCGTGTTGGCCCTCATAGCCTAAAATATTTATTCTCTAGCCCTTTACAGAAAAAGTTTGCCCACCCCCATACTAAACTAAGTCACATGAGGAGTAAGACTATGTATAATTGATCACTATATGATCTGTGTATAGCAAAATGCCTGACACATAATAGATCGATAAATATTGAATAACATATAATCATAGGGATGACATTGGACTAAGACCTAAGGAAGAAACATTGTGATTCTCTAAGACTTAAATTGATATTTCTTTTATACTTTACTTAATTCATGTTTATTCAAGAGCTGGTAGACTGCTTTAAATGCTCATTGGTTTATGTCTTGTGTATTTTGAACACTACACTTCTTCCAGCCAAACTGTCAATTTTCTAGTCACAAGCTCCTGCTGTCTTCAGTAAGGTCTCTGTCAAAAATCCACTATTTTGGTCCCATCACTTGGATTATTGAAGTTAGCCAATGTAAACTATCTCAAGGTCCTTATTGTGAATTACCCAGGCTCTTGTCCTCCACAAAGAGAATTCTGGGAGAATTTCTGGGTCAGGGAAAGAATGGTAAAAGATGTTCCCTTATACCTACGGCAGACAGGATTATTGAGATTTCCATGCTTGCAAGTCACTCACATGATTAGGGTCTAGTGTCCAGAATATATAAAGAACTTTTACAACTCAACAATAAAATGACAAATAACATAATTAAAAATGGGCAAAGGATTTGAATGACCATTCCTCCAAAGAAGATATATACATGGCCAATAAGCACATGAAAGGATGCTCGACATCTTTAGCCATCAGGGAAATGTAAATCAAAACTACAATGATACCTTCTTTTCTGTGATTTCAATAAAAAAATTTTAAAAACCCACAATGAGATACCACTTCATACCCACTAAGTTGGCTATAATAAAAAAAGACAGACAAAAACAATTATTGACAAGAATGTGGAGCAATCAGAACCCTCATACATTGCCGGTGGGAATGTAAAATTGTGCAGCCACTTTAAAAAACACGCTGGTAGTTCCTTAAAAGGTTAAACATAGACTTACCATATGACTAAGCAATTCCACTTCTAGGTATACATACAATAAAATTGAAAATATATGTCCTCCCAGAAACTTGTACACGAACATTCGTAGCAGCATTATCTATAATAGCCAAAAAGTGGAAACAGGCCAAATGTCCATCAACTGCTAAATGGCTAAACAAAATGTGGTATATCCGTATTATGAAATATTATTCAGCCATAAAAAGGAATGAAATATTACAATATGGATGAACCTTGAAAACATTATGCTAAGTGAAAGAAGTCAGATAAGTGGCCACATATTGTATGATTCCGTTTATATGAAATGTCCAGAATAGACAAATCCATAGAGACAAGAAGTAGATTAGTGGTTGCCAGGGGCTGGGAAGGAGGGGAAGTGTGACTACTAATGGATATAGGATTTCTTTTTGAGATTATGAAAATGTTCGGGAAATTAGATAGTGGTGATGGTTGCATAACTTTGTGAATATACTAAAAACCACCCAATTATATACTTTAAAAGGGTGAAGTTTACGTTATGTAAATTATATCAACTAAACAAAAAAAGGTTCCTTTACTTCATTAGGTACTCATTCTGAATACTGCCATTAAAATCAAGATATTTAGAGACACACCTGAAATCTGTATTACGTATATGTAATATGTACAGTCCTTTGTTATATCTGGTTTTACATATTCATATGTATATATACACATATATGCATACACATATATGTATGCATGTATAGAAATATAAATAAATAATTTAAATAATATTGAGGGTGTCACAACTAAATCAGTCCCAGCGAACTTAGCCAAGGCAAAGTAAGTTTTGGGCGGCTCCAGACGAGCCCCCGTGCATCTTAGCCTGATGGGACCGCCCGGAAATTTACACGCCTGCTACCAACACGTGACCAGCGTTGCAGAGGAGAAAAGGAGCAAGGCGCGCATATGACGTCATTTCTGCGCGATCCTCTTCCTTGGGGTGGGGTTTTCAGGCCGTTCCTCTGAATTATGCCGAAAGTAGTGTCCCGGTCTGTAGTCTGCTCCGACACCCGGGACCGGGAGGAATATGACGACGGCGAGAAGCCCCTCCATGTGTACTACTGTTTGTGCGGCCAGATGGTCCTGGTGCTGGGTGAGTAGTCGGGAGGTGGGGGACGTCTACTAGGTTCCAGGCTTCAGGTTCCTGAGGGTGAATTTCGTCTGGCTGCTACGTGGGAGTCACTTCTCATTGAAGATTGGTGGGCTTTCCCTTTTTGTCGAAATCCTCCCTACACATCTCCGCCCCTCCCTAAGGCTTTTTTTTTTCTGTTTTCTGTTTAACCTTGTAACTGCATGCAGACCTCCCTCAAAGCTCAAGGAGCCCTTCTGAAAAAGATACATTGTCTCTCTCTCTCAACCCACTGTCTTCAAAAACTACCGTCTCTAGAAACTTTATAACTTTTCTGCTGGCTGCAAAGATGCTGTAATAGCTCTCATCTTAGAACAAGCGAAAATAAAACCCTCCCTTGATTCTGTATTCCCCTCCAACTATAACCCCATTTCGTTGCTGCTTTTATTGCAAAACTTCTCAATAGAGTTGCCTATATTGGCTGTCTCTGCATCCTCACTTCTCTTTCCCTCTTTTTTTTTTTTCTTTTTTATTTCAGCATATTACCTCATTCCCTCTTGACCTCACTTCGGGCAGGCTTTCCTTCTCACCTCATCATCTAAACACCATATTTGTCAAGGTTACTAACTGAACTCCATGTTACTAGTTCCAGTGACCAATTGTCAATGTTTATTTGAATTCTCCTCTCAGTGGCATTTGAGATGATCACTCCATTCTTCTTGAAACACGTTCTTCATTTCCCTCTGAGACTCCACACTCTTCTGATATTCCTCCTACCTCAGATTTTGGCCCTTCTTGCCTGGCTCCCTTTTCTCTCTCGGGCTTTTAGACATTCCAAAGCCCTAGAGCTCAGTACTGTCACTTGTTCTCATGCTATACTCACACTCCAGGTGATCTCAATCATTCTCAAGCTTTACCACCTATATGTCGATAACTCCCAGATGTTCATCTTTAACCTGCACCTCTCCTCAAACTCCAATTGCCTACTTAACATTCTCCACTTGAATGTCTAATGGGCCTCTCAAATGTTTCTTGTTCAAAATTGAGTTCATGATCCCCTACACCCTGCTCTCCAACTGTTCCTCTGATAGTCTTCCCTGTTACAGTCAGTGGTACCACTATTCATCCAATATTAAACCAAAACCCTGGAATCATTCTTGATTCTCTCTCTCACATACCTTACATCTGTCCAGTCCATCAACAAATCCTGCAGGTGCTTCCTTGAAAATCTGTGCAGGATATGACTACTTTTTACCACTTCCATTTCTGCTACTCTAGTCCAAGCCACCACATCATCTCTCGTCTGGATTGGCACCATAATCTCTTGCTCTCCCTGTGTCCATTCTTTTTCCCCACTGATCTGTTTTCCAGACAGCAGCCGGAGTCCTGTTCAAAACCGGTGGTTTTGTGTAACACTGAGAATAAAATCAAAGTCCATACCAAGACCCTACATGATCAGGCCTCTAGCTACCTCTCAGACTTCATCTCCTAACAGTCTTCCCCTTGCTCACTGTACTCCAGCCACAGTGGCCTTCTTGCTTTTTCTCTCCATCATGTCAAAAATGTTCCTGCCCCCCAGGGCCTTTGGAATTGGTATTTCTTTCTTTCTTTGTTTCTTTTTTTTTTTTTTAAGACTAGTCAAGTGCAGTAGTGAGAAGAGGGTGGAATTGGTATTTCTTCTGCCCCAAAAACTTTTCCCTCAATGTTTCCTTACTTCATTCAGGTCTGCCAAATTGTCACTTCCTTAGAGAACTCTTCCCTGACTACCTTATCTAAAATAGCATCCCTGTTGCTCTTTGTCCTCTTACCCTGCCTAATTTTTCCTAGTAGCACTTATCACTACCTGAGATGACCGTTTATCCTCTTACCCTGCCTAATTTTTTTTTATTAACATACGTTATTTCCCAAGATCATATTATATAATTATTATTTTAAAATATTCCGCCTCTTCTGCTAGAACGTAAGCTTCATCAGTGCAGGGACTTTGTCTACTTTGTTCTTTGCTGAATTCCCAGCATAGTGTTAGGACAGTGCCTTGTACATAGAGGGCCCCCACATATTTATTGAATAAATGACTTCTTGGTAAGAAGATGTGGTGGAAAGAGCATGAGCTTTTGAATCACTTAGAGTTGGGTCTGAATTCTTGTTCTGCTTCTTATTAGGTGCATGGTAGATCTCTTGCCCTGTCTAAGCCTCAATTTTCTCATCTTTAAAATAGGAATAATAAATGTCTACTTTAGCCGTTTAGTAGGAAGAGTAAATGAGCTAACGTGTAAACTGCCCAGTGTTCTCTAGTGCCTCTCTCCACCTCCTCTGTTAATCTCTAATCACTCTGACCACTTGGCTTTCTCTGTGATCCTTTAGGTACTTAATTTGCATTTTATGAGTATTCAGTCTGCTTTATAACTATACCTAATTTGTTTCCTGTATTATGTTTTCACTGTTCTCAGATTAAAACCCCTCCAACTAGGATGGGTCATTTGCATACTACATATCATATTACCTACCTTCTCTCTCCTTTTCTTAGCACATATCCACTTTCCCCAATGCCCTCCTCATTCCAGGATGCTTGATTGTCTCTTCTGATTCTAATGCATTATAACACAAACCAAGTGTCCTATGATCTCAGAAATACTTGTAGAAACTGAATCGCTGTGCTGGGAAGGACTTTTGAAGTAATATAATCCACACATCTTTCAAATACAGAAAAATTCCCTGAAGGAGGAAGTAATTTGCCAAATCACTAAGGTAGTTATAGTCTCCTGACCGCATGTCATTTTTAGTTGGAAAATTCAATAATAGGTTTCAATAAGCATAGTAGTTGTAGTAGAAAATTATAGCGCAAAGGGCCCCACTGAAAACTTCTGATTGGCTCAGGATATTTTGCAGTGACTCTAGTGACAGTCTTTCTGCATTCCTTCAGACTGTCAGTTAGAGAAATTGCCCATGAGGCCCCGGGACCGGTCCCGTGTGATTGATGCTGCCAAACACGCCCACAAGTTTTGTAACACCGAAGATGAGGAGACAATGTATCTTCGGAGGTAAGAGGTTGATACTCTCTGTCTACGATTTCCCTATTGTGTTGGGGTCTATTTCTGAAGAATATAAATATCCCATCTAGTGTTGAACACATCATCTAGTTGGGCCCAGTACTTTGACATTTGTGGTAGTTTTCCAACTTAAGTTAATGCAGCAGTATCTTTATTGTGTTTTGTTGAAATGGTGCTGAGATATGATTCCATTGCTCTTTGATAGCTGTAATTTGGTTACAAATTACAGGTTTGAATGAGTTTATTCAACCTGTAATCTTTTGGAGCATACCAGGTGCCAGGCACTGGGCTAGGTACTGGATCTGTGAGGACGAATAAGGTATGATCTTTACCATCAAAGAGCTTGTGGCTCAGTGAGGAAATGGTCTACCATTGTGATAGGAAGAAATACTGGTGTTGTGAAGAAAAGGCTATGAGAAGACAGATGTTAGTGGGCCTTTCTGCTTGAATAGTGGTCAGGAAAGGCACACGATGATGGTTTTTGTGTTTGGCCTGGACTAGGATTTCACCAGTTAGATGAAGGGGATGAGAAGCATTCCAGGTGGAGGGAATATGGAAACATTAAAAGTATCAAATATGGTGTGCTTGAGAAATGTGAATAGTCCTTTGTGGCTGGAGCACAGGCTACTTTACAAGAAGGCATTCATGCCTACTGGGGTGAGGACAGAGTAAAATGCTAAAGTGGATAAGTCTGGACTTTATCTGTAGGCAATGAAGAGCCATCTCCATTTTATAAGCAGGGGAGTGATATGGTTAGATCTGTTTTAGATTTGGGAGTCCTTTGTATATATTGGGAATTGAAACCTGAGAAGGGATAAAATTACATAGAGTGTGGAGCAAGAAGAGAGGATGGAAGATTTAAAAGGCAGACAAAAGAATTGGAATAGAACCAGAAGAACCAGTGATGTGGAAAACGAGAGGAGAGTTTCAAGAAGTGTGTGTGGGGGTGAGGGGGTGGCACCAATGGGTGTCAGATGCCACAGAGAGGTCCATCCTAGGAAATAAAAAAGCCCAACCATTCATTCTGCAAATGTTTCATTTACTGAGCTCCTACTATGTGCCAAGTACTGTGCTAGAAGCCTGAACTATACCAGTATATTAATTTGCTAGAGCTGCCATAGTAAAAGAACGAACTAGGTGGCTTAAAACAACAGAAATTAATTGCCTCATAGTTCTAGAGCCTAGAAGTTTGAAATCAGGGTGTTGGTAGGGCTATGCTCTCTCTGAAGGTTCTAGGGGAGGACCCTTCCTTGACCTTCACTAGCTTCTGGTGTTTGCCAGCAATTCTTGGTATTCCTTGGCTTATAAATGCATCACTTCAATTGCTGCCTGCATTGTCGCATGGCATTCTCCCTGTCTCCCTACTCCTCTTCTTATAAGGACACCAGTCATATAGGATTAAGGGCCCATCCTACTCCAGTACGACCTCATCTTAACCAGTTATATATACAACAACTCTGTTTCCAAATAAGGTCACATTCCGAGGTTCCTAGAAGGAATGAATTTTTAATGGGACACTATCCAACCCAGTATAACCAGTAAACAAGCAAAGAACCCTGCCCTTATGGAACTTATATTCTAGTGTTGACCAGAAAAAGCTACAGGCTGACATCTAGCTATGTTTAATTTAAGAAACCAAACCGTTGTTAGCCCACACTAATGGAAAAGAATTAGAAACTACCGCTAGGTGACTTTCAGTAGCAAATCAGGCATCAAGCACCATTAGGACAACTGGGCATTTAAAATTGAACAACTGAAGAGAAACTTGGTTGTATGTAAGGTACAACTGGGAGCACTTTATGAAATTTGCAAAGGAAAGCCCTCCAGGAAACATCTGGGGGAAAAATTCCATTATGGTATATAGGAAGGTTTATAAATAACATGCCCTATCTAAGTCTAATTCATTCTCTTGTGCTTTATCTTCCCTCATTATTTAGGTTTCTGATTTTGAAAATTATCAACTGACAATCTTTGGGATCACTAAAATATTTATTATATATTATATACATTTATGTATAATTACATATATAATAGTATCTTATATATTAAGTTAATGTGTATTAATATTATTCAGTTAATACAGGAAATAATCTAACAACACAACTAGGCCAGGGGCTCCTATGGCACTGTAAGGCAGATGCTCTTACCTCTAGGCCAGAAAACTGCTGGATGGCTCTAGACTGGAGTAGAAACCCCAAAATCCAACCAGCCTGATCCTGAAGGTAAGCCAGCTTTAGGCCTAGCCTTAGGGCCATGTAGTGCCAGGCTGGTGGCCTCTGGCCAAGTGACTCTGTTGGGCCATAGCTCTTAGAGTTTACCGACAAGCCATGGTAAACTTCTCCCGTTGTTGTCATAGCCACTGCTCTAATCATGGACAGTCTTTCCAAGAGTCCACCCAGTGTGCTCCCTTGTTGGCCAGGGTTCATGTGTTGGAAACTTAATCCCTCTGCCCTCATGAATGGATTAATGGATTAATGAGGTCTCTTCTCTGGTGAATGGATTAGTATCACTATCACAGGAGTAGGTTTGTTACTGTGGGAGTGGCTTTGTTATTATATAAAAGCACACACACACAGGAACATTATTCAGCCTTAAAAAAGAACGAAATCCTGCCATTTGTGATAACATGGACGAACGTGGAGGACATTATGTTAAGTGAAATAAGCCAGACACAGAAAGACAAATATTTCATGATCTCACTTATTTGTGGAATCTAAAATAGTCAAATTCATAGAAGTGGAGAGTAGAATGATGGTTGCCAAGGGCGAGAGGTCGGGGGAAATAGGAAGTTGTTCAATGGATATAAAGTTTCTGTTCTGTAACATGAAAAAGTTTTAGAGATCTAATGTACAGCATGGTGACTATAGTTAACAATACTATATTGTACTCTTTAAATTTGTTAAGAGGGTAGATCTTAAGTGTTCTTACCGCATGGGTGCATGTGGGCACACACCCACAAAGAAAATGGTAACTATGTGAGGTGATGGATTAGTTATTTAGCTTAAATTGTGGTGATCATTTCACAATGTATATGTATATCAGAACATCAAATTGTACAGTTTTATCCATTTATCCACTTAGGGACATTTAGATTGTTTACATATCTTCGCTATTGTGAATAATGCTGCAATGAACATAGATAGGAGTGCAGGTATCTCTTTGAGATACTGATTTCATTTCCTTTGGATATATATACTAAGAAGTGGGATTGCTGGATCACACGGTAGTTTTATTTTTAATTTTTTGAGGAAACTCCGTACTGTTTTCCATAATGGCTGTACTAATTTACATTCCTATGAGGAGCGTATAAAGGTTCCCTTTTCTTCACATCCTTGTCAATATTTTTGTCTTTTTAATAGTCATTTTACCTGGAGTGAGGTTTCGTTGTGGTTTTGATTTGCTTTTCCCCGATGATTAGTGATGTTGAATACCTTTTCATATATACTTCTTGGCCATTTGTATGTCTTCTTTGGAGAAATGTCTATTCAGGTCCATTGCCCTTTATAAAATCAGGTTATTTGTTAACACGTTTTATAAGTTATTGCATACAAAAAAAGAAGATTGCTTTGACCACAGAAAAATCTCAAATTTCCATATGATGGAAAAAGTCAAACTGGAAAAGAAATATTTTCAAGGCCCTTTAATATTTGTGGGTCACCTTAATATAAAATAAAAAGGTAACTTAGTAGCCAAAGGATATGAACTAACAGTTAAAAAAAGGAAAATGCAAATGACTATTAAATTTATGAAAAGATTTATAACTTCACTCTTAAAAAAAGAAATACAAATTATGAGATCCCATTTTTCACATGTGAAAATGATAGTGATGCAGTTTAATGACATTCAGTGTTGGTGAGACTGTAGGGAAACAGGAACTCTTTAATATGTTGGTGGTAGGAGTACAAATTGGTTCAACTTCTATAGACAGAAATTTGACTGTATCTGCAATACCAGGATTTAAATTGTGCACACTTCTAGGAATTTATCCAATAGGTAAAAGACATTTTGGTTCATCCATACAAAATACAGTGCAGCCCTCGTAAAGAATGAAATCGCTCTTTATCTATAGATATGGAAGGATCATATATGTGTATATATATGCATGTATATATATATTATCCAAGAAATATTTTTAAGTGAACAAAAAAGTAGAGAACAGTGTAAATGGTACATTTGTCTAAAAAAGGAAGAAAGTATTTTCTTTGTGTACCAATCAGAGTTCTTTGTTTGTATATGCATCAACTGTCTCTAGGATGAACAATAGAAACCAGAAACAGTATTTACCTCTGGGGAAGGGAACTGGGTGGCTGGAGGACAAATGACGAAGATATTTACTTTTCATTTTATACTCTTATATATACTGTGTTATATGTTACCTATTAAAAAATCGAAATGCACAGAGGGAGGGGAAATCAGACCAGTCAGGAAGCTGTTACTGTAGTCCAGGAAGTTGATACTGGTGGTTAGGCCAAGACGGTGAGAGGAAAGTGGAGAAAATAAGATGGGTTCAAGATCTTTTTTTGGAGATAAAATTCACAGGATTTGCTGAAGAAGTAGATGTGGGAAAGAGAAGAATCGAAGATGAGTCCCAGGTTTCTATTAGGAAAGTGGGTAGAATTGAGTCCTTGTCCCTATGAGTTGGTTATCTAAGGCAGTGTCATGTGGGCTCTTGAGCTTGAATTCAGCCTCCTCTGTTCCTAGCTCTGTGACCTTAGGCACATGATGTAATTCTTTGTTCTTAGGTTCCCTTGTCTGTGAAGTGGGAATAAGTAATGTGACGTGCCTCACAGGGTTGTTGTGAGAATTAAATGAGTTAATATAGATACACTTTAGAATAGCTCCTGGCACATAGTAAAAACTGTGTAAGTGGTTGCTGCTGTTATTACTACAACTACTATTGTTACTGTGTCTATAACTACTATACTGTTCCTCCTCTCCTCTTGTCAGGGAGATGATACCTGGCCCATATTAGGTAAGTGTTTGCTGAAGGGAAAAAGGAATATTTAACCAGTTGATCTATGAAATGAAAACTTTGGAAAGGCCCTTTCAGCATTTGAAGAAATGAGGTTGATAGGTTATGAGATTTGTTCGTATCTTTCTATTTTTTAACTTCCATTTTCTGTGCAGGCCTGAAGGCATTGAACGACAGTACAGGAAGAAGTGTGCAAAGTAAGTATTAACAGTGTGGGTTTCTCCAAGCATAGGCAAGTAGAGGCACAATGTTAGAAAAATAATTATTTGGATACAACTCTCTATTATGTCTTTATTCTTTTTTTTTTTGAGACAGAGTTTCGCTCTGTTGCCGGGGCTACAGTGCCATGGTGTCAGCCTAGCTCACAGCAACCACAAACTCCTGGGCTCAAGCGATCCTCCTACTTCAGCCTCCCTGGTAGCTGGGACTACAGGCCTGCGCCACCATGCCCGGCTAATTTTTTTTTTCTATATTTTTAGTTGTCCAGCTAATTTCTTTCTATTTTTAGTAGAGACGGGGTCTCGCTCTTGCTCAGGCTGGTCTCGAACTCCTGAGCTCAAATGATCCGCCCACCTCGGCCTCCCAGAGTGCTAGGATTACAGGCATGAGCCACCACGGCTGGCATGTCTTTATGCTTATAATCTCAGCTGCCTTCACACTTCAGCTACACAGAAATACCAATATGCTCCCTGAAGAGGTTAGTCAAAAAGTTATATCCCTGACTAGTTGGCCACAAAATGAGTTTTTAATATAGTATAATTTTTAAAAAATTGAGATGTAATTTATATATATAATAAAATTTGCTCATTTTAAGTGTACAATTTGATGAGTTTTGGCAAAAGTATATAGTCATGTAACACCACCACCACCCTGATATAAAACATTTCCAGCACCCTGTGTTCCCTTTATAGTCAATCTCCTTCCTCCACTCCTCTCCCCTGGCAGGCACTGATCTGCTTTCTGTCACTGTGGTTTTGCCTTTCTTAAAAATTTTTATAAATTCTACAATATGTGCTCTAAGTAGTATATAAGATTTATTTTTTGCGCCTCATTTCTTTCACTTGGTATAATGTTTTTGGGATTCATCCAAGTTACGTGTATCAACCGCTTGTTCCTCTTTATTGCTGAGTAGTAATTCATTGTACAATTTGTTTACCCATTCACCTGTTGAGGGGCATTTGAGTTGTTTCTGGTTTGTGTTATTACTGATAGAGCTTCTGTGAACATTATAGTATAAATCTTGATGGAAACGTGTTTTCTCTTGGAGAGGGATTGCTGGGTCATATGGTAAATGTAACATAGTGTGATTTAATTCAGACCTATTTCTAAAGCCTTTTATAGGACCTTAGACCTATTGAACCTTAGTTTAAGGAGTGTTATTTAAAGCAAAAAAAAATGTTTTTTCCAAGTTTAGGCTGTTAATAAGGAGAATATAAACTATAGTAAGTTCAATCTTGATGAAACTACAGTTACATCTTGGCTCGTAGAGGACTTATACTGGGAGAATTGAAGAGGGGAAAATGGGTAGGAAGGCATTTTAGCTCCTGGGCACACCTGATTGATAAAATTGGTTTTTTGTTGTTGTTGTTGAGACAGAGTCTTGCTCTGTTGCCCCGGCTAGAGTGCTGTGGCGTCAGGCTAGCTCACAGCAACCTCAAACTCCTGGGCTCAAGTGATCCTTCTGCCTCAGCCTCCCAAGTAGCTGGGACTACAGGCATGTGCCACCATGCCC